GTGTAGCATGTTATCAATCTACACAAAACTGTGGTAAGTACCGGTAAATGTAATAAGGGAAACATCGCAACATTAATGGTAAAGTGTATTATACTTTGTCTGGTATCATTACGCTGTTAGTTTCTAATACTGAATTATTATTATTTTAATAAGCTGTTAGATGCTAATGACTTTTATTTACTTTAGTTTTTGCATGCTTGAGAACCCATTTTATTGTTTGTATTTGTTAATATTTTGAAATTTGATAAAATACCCACCCACCCAAAATGGCAGTAGCCAATGACTACAACCTCCTAACCATATTCTATTCAACATAGCTGGTCCAACAAACAAGGATAAACATTTTGCATCCTAAGGAATATTCATTGGGAATGGCACAGTAGCCAATGTTTAACTTAAGGAGAAAAATACCTGCAGTCCAATCTTCCCCAACCAGGCACCGTCCAGATATCTGGAGCTACAATTCCCATGCTTTGGCCATCTTGGCTGGGGATGATGGAAACTGTAGTAATACAAAACATCTGGAGAGCCCCAAATTGGAGAAGGATGCATTGGATAATTCAGTCGGTAGAGCATGAGGGTTGTGGGTTCAATCCCTACATTGGGCAAAAAAATAATCCTGCATTACAGCGAGTTGGACTACATGACCCTCATGGTCCCTTCCAGCTCTGCAATTCTATTCTTCTAAGGCTGCTGTAGTCTATTATCCATAACTTGTTAATATAAAACTCTCTCTTAAGTCACAGTAATACAACCACAAAATCAGAAAGCAGTTGTTCTAAAGGGAAAGACTTAAAAACAGTTAATCAATTTTCTTGTTATAAAAAAGAATATGTCACAGTGCATTTGTTACATTATTGGCTATATTATTTACAAACAACACATTTTATTAAATCCACAAAAGAATAATAGCAAATAAATCAATGTGCCGTGTCAATGTAATAACAACATTATTACATCTATTAGTAAGCATAGATATGTTGGTGGGCTCTTAGCTGAGGGACTTCATAAAATGAATAATATTCTTTCTTAAACAATATAATTAACTCTTAATGAACCTTTCCCTTTTCCCAGTAAATTCAATTTAGTCTAATCCTTGGGTTTATGGTAATGTTGAGCTCATTAAAATGTTACTTAAAACTCATTAAAATGCACACTGAGAGGTAACAGCTTCATTACAGTAATATATGGTAAAAGAAAAAAAGAATGCTTTATTATCATTTAATTGTTTCCAAAACTGAATACATTTGCATAGTGATAAGGTTCACAGGATACTTTAGATGGTACTCAATAATTAAGCAGCTCAGTAATTAAAAATGCATTTCTAAAAATAATTTTATGTTATTGCTTATTCTTGGTTGTTTTTCCAATTAGGAAAAGTAGCCATATCAATCCAGCTCATGAAATTGGGTGGAACAGATAGACAAGAAGACAAGATTAATTTTTTTTAGTTTCAGACAATGCGTATTTTTGTTCCATTTATTTTCTGTTCATAAACAGCACTTGAAGAGTCAGTGACTGTTACATTAAAAGGTAAGGTATGCATATTCTAGTAAATGAGAACAACCAAGTATTAGTCATTTAATTAAGTTGGCGAATTGTCCAGGAATTGTCCAGTAATGTAGAAATGCATTACAGTAACACCTGATGCAGACTTTTAAGAGCAAGTCGCGCCATTGTTTCACTATAGATTCAGAAGGGCCCAGGTTTAATACCTGGCATATTTAGATAGTTTGGGAAAGACCCATGGAGAGTGACTGATAATTAGTGAACACAATACTGATGAGATCTCTAGCACACATGTGTACACAGTTTTTATATATAAACCACCAAGCGGTTCTCAAACTTTTTTCTCTGGGCCACACTTCAGAATAAAAATTTGCTTATGCCACACCGAATTTTTAATTGATAAGAAATACATTGGAAAACAAAAAGAAACTGCCAGCAGTGCTTGATTTATAACACAGAATATAATCTTGAAACATCCAGAAAGTATAAAATGCAGCTACATCAGAACATGCATCATTCCCAACATAGAATTATAAACAAGCACCTTACATATGTATAAAACCCAATGTGAAGGGTGAGCTGACTTTTGCCAGGTAATCTGCATTCAAAGCATAGGGCTTGATGTGGTTAAGATACAGCACAACTAGGGGCCCCTGGCAGATGATAGTCCATGCCTGCAGAACCCCCATATGCTCACCAGCGGGCAGTCCAGTGAGTGGTAGTCATGCCTGTCACTGCTTAGTGTAATGGTCAAAAGGGATTGTGATCAGGATGGGGGATCATAGAATCATAGAATTGGAAGAGACCATGAGGGTCATCTAATCCAACCCCTTGCAATGCAAGAATCTTTTGCCCAATGTGAGGCTCAAACCCAGGACCCTGAGATTAAGAGTCTCATGCTCTACCGACTGAGCAAAATGGGACTGGTAGCTCCAATACAAAACAAATTAGCACCAAAGTCTCTAGAAATAATATGATCCATGGCTGGTTCACAGTTGCTTGTTACTGGCCTCAAGAGGGAGTGAGAAGTTAATCTTTACCAGCCACAATAAGGCAGTTGAGGTTTGAGAGTATTTAACACTCTCTGTTATGCATGGGTGCCTTGCATAATGGAAGTGAACTTCAAAAATGCTCCTGGAACTATCAACTTCTAGCATCGTGTTAAATGAATGCAGGCATGCTGTGGGCCCAACACTGTGGATTTGGTTCAAATAGCTGAATATAGCATAAAATAAGATTATAATTGGTTATATAGTTATATGTGGATATGGAAATTCTTTTCTGTCTTTGATAAATACAACAAAATTAAGAAAATAGATGGGACCTGAATTTTAGGAAAATGAAGGAGTAGGAGGACAGCAAATTGTGTGGGTGGGTGTGTGGGTGTGGGTGTGTGTTATAAAACTCCATAGATTTAAACATTGTTATATTGTATATGTTATATACATGTATATTGTTATATACATATAACAATATATATGTTATATACATGTTATATATATGAGAGCCAGTATGGTGTAGTGGTTAAGAGCGGTAGTCTCGTAATCTGGGGAACCGGGTTCAAGTCTCCGCTCCTCCACATGCAGCTGCTGGGTGACCTTGGGCCAGTCACACTTCTTTGAAGTCTCTCAGCCCCACTCACCTCACAGAGTGATTGTTGTGGGGGAGGAAGGGAAAGGAGAATGTTAGCCGCTTTGAGACTCCTTAAAGGGAGTGAAAGGCGGGATATCAAATCCAAACTCTTCTTCTTCTTCTACAGTAAATCAGGTTGTATTTCCAAAATCTCTGTTGATTCGTTTTTTAAAATGCCTGCTCTCTCTCTGTAGAGATTTCCATTTCCATTTCTATAATCTTTCACATTTCATTTTCTGAGCCTTTTGAAAAGAAAACAAATAATATGCCTCTCTAGCCAAGTAAACAATCTCTCATTTTATCTTTATCGTACATTCCTGTAGATAAGTTATGTCATTTCTTTGGAGCCCAATGTGAGATGCCTGGAAATAAATAAGCCAGATGGAAACTAAGTAATTGGAATAATAAGTATTAATGTCGAAAACTCTCTCCATTGTATTTCCATGTATTCATTGAGCAAGGTTAAATGAGATACCATAAATACAAACTAGAAGATAGATGATACATTTGAAAACAAGTAATTGCATATTATACTTACTAGCTTTCCCCTATGTAAGCATAATCTAAATTGAAAAGCCAGGAAAACCCTGTAAATAAATGGAAGACAAAAGCAACTAGACTCAATTTTTAACTGATATTTATGGCAGGGCATCATTACATAGTCTGAGGAGCCTTTGCTTCACACTGTATACACATATAATATCTGTTTTCATATGATTTGCAAGATTATGATCCAGAGCTATATTATTCATTTGCAAATATGTTCATATTTGAAACACGCAATGAATTGTATAGATGCTGTTTTAAATATAACTATGAAAGTGGTCTGGAAAGGGAGAATCAAAGAGAATACTAAACAAACAAAGAAGAGGGCCAGTAGAGAATAATGAGCATCTGGGCAACCATAGTCTGCATGAGTGTGAACAAAGTAAAAATACACACCAATGTATAATCAGACCACTGCTGCTGTTAATAATACATATTATTCCACAGTAAGGTTCCAGAATGTTGTTGGTGGGTAAGCGAAGAGTTGATTTACATGATCAGGTAATAACTAATTCATGTAATGATAATCCCATCACACACAAGTTTCCTCCTACTCCCACTGATGCCGCAAACACGATGAAGAAAGTCACAACAGAAGGACTAATGTACAATGAAAGTTTTTAATGACTATCACATAATTGTAATAATGGCCAAGATCAAAATTGTTATTGTATGCTGCTGTTGTTGGGCTTTGAGAAGCTAGTTCACAAATCCCAGTCAGCCATTATGTTTATGGGTGCCCTTGGGCCAGCTGCTATCTCTCAGCCAAAAGGACCTCACAAGGTTGTGAAGAGGATGCTTATAGGAAGGAATGCTTATAGGAAGGGATGCTTATAGGAAGGATATAACAACAGTTAAATATGGAACTAACCGATGCTGAATTACTCAGCTGACTAATCACATACTTGGGGCACCAGCAAAACAAGGGAACAAAAAAGAAAGAAAGGAATATTTTGTTGGAAAAAAGTGACATCTGATATTTCAAAAATAGCATCAGAGTAGTCATCATGGGGAAAATCAGAACTTTAGAAGACTTCCTTACACTCCACCACACTGTTATATTTTATGCTTTAGTATTGTTTTTATTTTGAATACATACAGGGGGCACCATAATCTTTTCAGTGCTTAGGTCTTCGTCCAGCCCTGGAATTAACTAAAACTTTGGTTATGTTGATGGTGCAACACTATGCCCAGTACAAGTCATAATCCTTAACAAAATCAGAAGTAAGTCCCATTGACTTTGATGGTACTTACTTCCAGCAAGTGTGTCTAGGTACCGTATTTTTCGTTCCATAGGACGCTCCGTCCCATAGGACGCACCTACTTTTTGGGGGGGGAAATAAAGGAAAAAATTTTTTCCTTTATTTCCCCCCCCAAAACCAGGTCGGGGAACAGTGGGATGGCGGCGCTGCGCCTCCCCGTTGTCCCCCGAGCTTGTGGGGCTGGCCATGTCTGCCCGGCGTGACGGGCGCTCTGCTTCAGGGCGCCCCACGCGCCGGGCGGCAGGCTGCAGACACCTGCGCGAAGCACGGGACGTCCTCCGCGGGCGCCCCGTGCTCCGCGCTGCAGGCTGCCGCCCGCAAGCCGTGCGCGCCCAGGGGGGATCTCCCCCCGGGCGCGCAAGGCTTGCAGACACCTGCACGAAGCACGGGGCGTCCTCCAGAGGGCGCCCCGTGCTCCGCGCTGCAGGCTGCCGCCCGCAAGCCTTGAGCTCCCGGGGGGGAACCCCCGGGCGCGCAAGGCTTGCCGACACCTGCGCGAAGCACGGGACGTCCTCCGAGGGCGCCCCGTGCTCCGCGCTGCAGACTGCCGCCCGCAAGCCTTGCGCACCCGGGGGATCTCCCCCCGGGGAGCGCAAGGCTTGCCGACACCTGCGAGAAGCACGGGGCGTCCTCAGGAGGGCGCCCCGTGCTCCAGCGCTGCAGGCTGCCGCCCGCAAGCCTTGCGCTCCCGGGGAGATCCCCGGGCGCGCAAGGCTTGCAGACACCTGCACGAAGCACGGGGCGTCCTCCAGAGGGCGCCCCGTGCTCCGCGCTGCAGGCTGCCGCCCGCAAGCCTTGAGCTCCCGGGAGATCCCCGGGCGCGCAAGGCTTGCCGACACCTGCGCGAGGCACGGGACGTCCTCCGAGGGCGCCCGTGCTCCGCGCTGCAGGCTGCCGCCCGCAAGCCTTGCGCTCCCGGGGAGATCCCCGGGCGCGCAAGGCTTGCCGGACACCTGCGCGACGCACGGGATGTCCTCCGTGGGCGCCCCGTGCTCCGCGCTGCAGGCTGCCGCCCGCAAGCCTTGCGCTCCCGGGGGGAGATCCCCCGGGTGCGCAAGGCTTGCCGACACCTGCGCGAAGCACGGGGCGTCCTCCGAGGGCGCCCTGTGCTCCGCGCTGCAGGCTGCCGCCCGCACGCCTTGCGCTCCCGGGAGATCCCGGGTGCGCAAGGCTTGCGGATACCTGCGCGCAGCACGGGGCGTCCTCCGGAGGGCGCCCGTGCTCCGCGCTGCAGGCTGCCGCCCGCAAGCCTTGCGCTCCCGGGGAGATCCCCGGGTGCGCAAGGCTTGCGGACACCTGCGCGAGCACGGGACGTCCTCCGAGGGCGCCCCGTGCTCCGCGCTGCAGGCTGCCGCCCGCAAGCCTTGCGCTCCCGGGGAGATCCCCGGGTGCGCAAGGCTTGCCGACACCTGCGCGAGCACGGGGCGTCCTCCGAAGGGCGCCCCGTGCTCCGCGCTGCAGGCTACCGCCCGCAAGCCTTGCGCTTCCGGGGGGAGATCCCCCGGGTGCGCAAGGCTTGCGGACACCTGCGCGAAGCACGGGGCATCCTCCGGAGGGCGCCCCGTGCTCCGCGCTGCAGGCTGCTGCCCGCAAGCCTTGACTGCCCAGGGGAACTCCCCCCGGGTGCGCACGGCTTGCAGATAGCTTCCGGGAGCCTGAAGAGCGAGAGGTGTCGGTGCGCACCCACGCCTCTCGCTCTCCAGGCTTCCGCGAAAGCCGGCATTCGCTCCATAGGACGCACACACATTTCCCCTTCACTTTTGGAGGGGAAAAAGTGCGTCCTATGGAGCGAAAAATATGGTACTTTATGTGGGATTGCAAGGTGTGACTTAAGCATGTGTTTCTTTTAATCTAATTAGGTCATTCCTTTTGCCCATTTCTTTTGGAGCTACTCTTTGTCTGCTTCCTATACTTCTTAAAGGAAGACAAATATAATGGTGGTGTTTCATTTTAAAACTAAATATAACTTGTTTGCAAAAATCTGTGCATATATTCATAATTGTAAATTGTTTTAAGGTGGGGTGTATTTTTAAAACAGGAAGCTGACAAATCTTCCTATAAGTTAAATTAACCACCATCCAGCAGCAAATGCCAATAGTAGGCACAGCAGTTTTTTGCTTGAAATTGGTATGTCTACTTTCAGGCAAAAAAAAAAAAAGTTCCATTAATTCCCAAAATACATTTGGAAAAGTATTCAACAGTTAGAACTTAATCATGGAAGAATATGGTGTAGTGCACAGTACTCAACACCAAGCACTAGGGCTCCAAATAAGGTCTGGTATTTCCTGCCAGCTTTTAATTTAAGCTCCAGACTTCTTTGCTACTGCCTCATGCTTCCATTTTCCTTAATGTGAACTGAAGTCACTTGGCTTTCATCAGCTTCCTATAAAGTGGAAAATCTGTCAAAACCTGTTTTTAAATAGGGGAAGGTGGGAAAATGAAAGGAATTTGTGCCAAAGAACAGAGAGAAGCAGTCTGGATGTTTTTGCTTTCTCCTACTGAAAACGCTAACATCACCTGTCCTCCAAATCCCTGTGCTCCACCCCCTAAGGATTGTTGTTAGTAAAAGAAAGCAGTCTGGCCCACCTCCTGACGTCTTTAATTGACTTCATAGTGAGTGTTATCAAGAGCTAGTCAAGCAGTGCTAATGGTGCCTGCAGATTGTTCACACATGGCATCACTGGCATACGTTGGCCCTTAAAAGGACTAATAGGACAGTGTAATCTCTACTCAGTGTGTGAGCAAGAACCAAGGGCTATCTGGAAAAACAACAAATAATTAGGCAGGGCTCTTCTCGGACAAAGGCAGTGTAATAAAGACTACTTTGAAGCACAAATACTAATTCTCTAGCAACCTTTTATCACAGTACAAATGTTTTTAACAATAGGATGTAATTGTATGATTTAAGCTGAATTATTTTCTGTAATTAAGTATTTTTATTGTTTTACTTGATCTAGGGGGGCAGCTGCCCTCCCTCCCCGACTACGTCCATTACGACAAGCAACACCACCTCTAAATATCTCAAAAGGTCAATTGGGCATATATGGGTGGAGACAATCTGCTAGGTATCCTGGTCCCAATTTTTTTAGGGTTTACATGTCAGCAGCAAATTTTAAACATAGCTTGTGGATTGAACTGAGACAAAGAATTTTTAGCACATTATGACCAGGATCACATGACACAATAAAGCTTGGTATAGCAAGACCACACAAATGTGATGGCTTCTGGAAAGGAATTCACAAGTGCTTGTGATGCTAACCACAAAGTGTAGTCACATTTGTTGACTACAGCTCATGATTAGTGAAGAGAGATTTTAACCACTAGCCTCAGTGCTCTCCAGAAGTATGCAGATTGATATTGTCTCATTTAGCTAGGTTCTGACATATCGTGTTGTGCAGACTAGGTCTAAATGTATTAATTGGTTTACCAATGCCAGGATGTCTGCATTATCAGCAATTGTTTTGTGAATTACTACTGTTAATAAGGTACTTATTACTATCTGTACTTTTCCACCGTTTGTTAAACGTTGAGGTCAGAGAAAAACAATTCTCCCCAATCCTCTGGCCAAAGACTCTTTGTACTCCTGCTCTGGAAGTCCATTTGCCCTTCTTGGGCAGGTGGCTTTGCGGGTGGGCCCCAGGCCTCCTCTGGGAACTGGTCTATTGCAGGCTGGACCATCCTCCTACTGCCAAATTGGCCCATGGCGAAAGGAATCTATAGATGGCATTCTCCTGGGTGTGGGACCAACTGATCAATAGCAGTGCCTGGTCCCATGCCCAGAGGAAGGATAAATGCCTAGCCTGCTGGGCATTTCGACCTCTCACTCACCATGCCAGTTCTCCCACCCACCCTCAGATTAGGGTTTTTGCTGATGGTACAACCTTTCTATGGACAATGTCGGTTGTTGGTTTTAGGGGCCGGGCAGGATTTTCTCCCATCTAGCAAATTGGCACCGCTATTTGAGTTTTCACCTACCTCATAGCAATCATCTCAACTTTGTAAGGCAGACAGGGATTGGTTAAGCCTAGTCTTCGTTGGAGGGGAGGTTGTAGCCTCTGCCTGCCCCTCCACGGGTAAGGGAATTCTGTTAAAAGGATCTGGTAAGAGTGGCTCCTGTCCAATACCCAGAAGGGGGCTAGGGCCAGACCACTCCTCAAATGGAGACCATTTGGGGGACACCCCTATTTGACATATATCACAGGGCGTGTTATTTGACATACGTCATAGGGCGTGTCCCCCCCCCCCACTGGCTTCACCCTTAGAAACACTCCCAGAGGACGGGCGGGAGTAACATATGCAGTTGCTTACCTCAGTGCCTATGACCAAACCTTTACATCTGTAACCAATAAAGTTGTGGCCTTATTTAATACCAAACCAATATGCTGTGTGTTGTCTAGGGAACAGGGTGGTCACAGGCCTCGCCACACTAATAATACGAAGTTAGATTTGCCTCTTAATTGCTTGTAGAGAAAGCTGAAAGCTTCTGCTATTTTGGGCAAAAGTGTAATTGCACATACAAATAATATATTACACCAATACTGCTTTTATTAACGAGCATCCCAGAATTTAGCTAGTGCTACAAAAACTTTCTTTCATATTTTATCTGGTAGTGCTATCTATTGAATGTCCTTGCTTTTGCTAGTAATACTTTGAACTACCTGCTTTGCTAGCCCTCATTTCCTCCCCCAGGGACTTTGCCATTCACAAGTTTCCAACTTTACAAGGACACTGAAATGACCAATAGGGGAATGCAAAACATCCAGTAGTGAGGTTTCAGTGTAAGTCCCTGAATCTTCTGGCCAACAAAAGGTGAAGGGTGCTATTAGGGAGGATTAATGGACTGCTGGGAAAAGAATTGGCTTATTTGCATTAATCTTTATGATTAAAGATGGAGCAGATACCACTGTTACACAGTATGATACAAGTGTGCCGTAGCATTACAGCAAATCTCTAAAGGAAAGATTAGGGAACATTGTGGGAATTCCAAGCCAAGTAAATCACCATGCCTGAGGAATTTAAATAGGCCCTTAATGCAAATATAGCACAAGCAATATTTAAAGATGTATATAGTTGCCAATATTACAATGAAAACTGAAATTAGAGACTGATGAGCTTCTCGGTCCTAATTCAGGAGAGGTTGAGAAAGAATATAATTAAGGAGAAAATAATGCCCTACTTGGATAAGCATAAATTGATAAGGTCAAACCTCTGTGAAAAGAAAATCTTGCCTCTTTGAGACATCACAGGTCTTGGAAAGAGTTAATCAAACAGGATAAAAGAAGGTCTTTTTCAAGTAATTTACTTGGATTGTCAAAAGCCGCTGATGAGACTATTAAGGAAAATAACCACAGGGTAGGGAGGTAAAATCCTGTTGTGGATTAAAAATTAGCTAAGTGATAGGAAACAAAGACTTGTAATTAATGGCTGCTTCTCAGAGTGGAAAGAAGTTGAGTGAAGCACTCCAGGGATCAGTATTGGGATAAGTGTTCAATATACTTAATAATGGTTTCAGTGAGCAAATCAGCTGAGAGAAAGGGAAATTGAGAAATAACACAAAGCTTGTTTATAGCTCTGAAGGCTAAAACAGACTGGGAAATTCTAAAGGACAAATACAAATAGGGAATCAGCACAACAATGTCAAAAAAGGACAAGGTAATGTACACTGGTAATAATGATTTCACATCTTAGTATGTATTAATTAGCACTTGGGGAGGAACATAATCCAAAAAGGAAGAAAGCGAGTAAGTGAACGTTTTAAGAAGTGAGCTCCCTTTTCGTAGTTACATAGGTATAAAACTGCTTATATTTGTTAACAGGTATTTACTCCAATCTAAACCTCTTAACATAACTAGGTTCCTATGTCCAAGGAAACCTTGGGCATTCCTCAAATAACACCATCAATAACAGCATCCCTTCCTGCCATGCCATAATGAAAAATAGTTCCTTCTAACTATTTTTTCAAAGGAAAAAAGGTGAAACATCCCACTGGGGGAAAAATAATAATCCTAATTTAGTCATGCCATAAATATCTCTTTAAATCCTGACCTGGTTGGTTTTGTTACCTCATACAAATACAAAATTTGGTGTATATTCTACAGCAAAGAAACTGGATCAGAACCTGCTGGTCACTGAATTTCAACCAATTTCTTCTTAAAGTAGGAAACTATTAAAAAGGAAAAAATATAAATTGTGAAGAATTGGAAGAACGAGACAGGATACCTTTATCAGGAAAGAACATTTGAGAAATATAAAATGCTCCACAGGGCTATGTCCAATTCAAATATTATATATATATATATGTGTGTATGTGGTGATGAATTGTATTACTTTTATTATTCTATACTAGCAGTGAAACCTTGTCTTTGTATTGTGTATTATCTACTGTACTTTTTCAGGAACCAACCTCTTATGAGCTGTGATGGTCATTCACTACACCAACCCGGTTTATATTTACGTCATTCACTACACCAACCCTGAGTCTTTTACAACAGCCTGGAAGTACAATGTTATCATAGTTTTACAAGTGAAAATTCTAGAAAATCACATTGTATACCATTTTGGATGTTACTCCCAAGTGTGGTTCAAATGTACTATAAACAAATAAAACAAATAAAATGTGTTGCCCAATGACATTAATATCCATGAGATTTGTTTCATTATTAGGATACAGTATGTATGTTTTTAAAGACCCCCCCCCACAGCCCCTAGAGAGGGCCAATAACAAGCATAAGAATAAAGGAATCTGCCTTCGAATGAGTCAGAGCACTGGTCCATCTAATTCAGTACTGTCTACTATACTGACAGACAGTGACTTTCCAGGGTTTCAGATAGGACTCCCTGCCACCCACCCGTGCTCTACCCAAAGACACCAGAGAATTAATCTGTGGTTTTCTGCCTGCTCCACCACAACTACTTTATATATCTAGGCCCCCTTGGAGAGCCAAGTGGACACAGGCAGCTGTAGAGCCAAGTAGACATAGGCAGCTGTAGAGGCTCTAATTCAGGGGTAGGCAACCTAAGGCCTGTGGGCTGGATGCAGCCCAATCGCCTTCTCAATCTGGCCTGCAGACGCCTTCTCAATCTGGACCGCAGTCTGCCTATATTTACATGAGTAGAATGTGTGCTTTTATTTAAAATGCATCTCTGGGCACAAGATGTAGGTCACAACATTATGATGGAAGATTGGGAAGAATAATGGAAAACTGATTTAAAATTTACAGATTGTTCCCTATTGAAGGAGAATTACATGAAGATGATGTATAGATGGTACACAACACCAGTGCAGTTAGGGAAAATGTACAAAACTAGTTCAAATATATGTTGGAAGTGTAAGGAAAAGGAAGGGACATTTTATCATATGTGGTGGGATTGTAATTTAAAAAAATTGGGAAATGATATACAATGAATTGAAGAAAATGTTCCATTTAACATTTGTTAAAAAACTCGAGGCATTTTTGCTGGGGATTATAGGGAAAGACCTGCCAAAAAAGCTGAAAAACATCTTCATGTATGCGACAACGGCCGCAAGAGTTCTGGTAGCACAAGGATGGAAAACTGAAGAAATCCCAATTAAAGAATCATGTTAGGAAAAATTGACGGACTATGCAGAACTGGCAAAACTGACATATAAGCTATGGGACAAGGATAACTGTGACTTTAAAGATGAATGGGAACCCTTTACAAAGTATCTGAAGATGCAACAAAGTGAACTGAACTCCTTGGCAGGTTTTAAAGAAACATTCACAAACTTTTTATTGATAATAAATCAGCTAAATAGTTTGAGGATCTATACAACTTTGTATCATCCAGAAAACAGCAGTCTCAGAGAAACCAAAGACTGGAACTGAGGGAAGTCGGGGGGTGGGGGTTGGGATTTGTGTGGGAGGGAGGAAAAATGGGGGGGGGGGACAAGGATGATATGTTTTTGGATAGTATGTTTTGTTTTAATTTTGAATAAAAACACTTAAAAAAAATATTTAAAATGCATCTCTGGGTTATTTGTGGGGCATAGGAATTCGTTCATTCCCCCCCCCCAAAAAATATAGTCTGGCCCCCCACATGGTCTGAGGGATGGTAGACCGGCCCACGGCTGAAAAAGGTTGTTGACCCCTGTTCTAATTTGTTCATGGATGGGAAGCTAGAATTTAAGCTGTGTTTGAAAGGCCCTTATCTCATATACTCCCTACCCACCCACCCACCCGGAATACTCCTCACATACACTCTCTAACAGCCAGTGCTATTTTTTCCTAGAAAAAGAGCTGGCTGAGCTCACCAAGAACACCTGCCCTGTTCTCTTAGAATGGCAATGGCAGCCGCCTGAGAGATGCCAGATCTGAGTTCTGGCTGAAGAAAAGCCCTGCTAACAGCCTACTGTAAGGTAGTAAAAAAATCTTCCTATTTAGGAAAGCTTTTGAAGCCATGTCAATTCTTATATTGTATTTAAATCATTTTTTATTGTCACTGTATTTATAATATCTCTTCCCTTCCCTGAGGTTTTAGTGGTTTATAGCTGCTTAAATTTATTTGTTGCTGCTCTTAAATTACTTTAAAAGTTGGAGTCCCTTCCAATTCTACAATTCTATGATTCTATTGTTTTGATTTATTATATCCTGCTAACGTATTTGGAAAAGTGGAATATAAATGTTTTAAATAAATAAACACACTGCTTATTGACAAGTAGCATCTGCAACACTAAGCACGTGAGGTAAGAGCATTTTAAATGTTATGGAGCACAGAAATGGGTAAATGCGTTCCAGATGTTTCCAGGTGGGGCCCATCATGTTTCAATTGGTCCTGAATGTTTATTATTAAACGAATACTAACTGGAGTCCATTCTTTGTCATTTCATAAGAGTTCAATATCAAGATTACATAGTATTTTGACATAGTAGAGCTCATCAAAAGCAGTAACATTCTGCAAACATTGAATGGCAAATGAAATGTTTAAAGGACAGATACCAAGGTAGTAAAAGCATTAAACAGCTGCAGAATCCAACCGGTAAAATATTCCTGTTAAAGCATTTGAGATGCATGTAAATGTAAACCCCTCTCACAGAAATTACTTAAATGTCCTCAGAAAATAAAGAGGAAGGGGTAGGGAGCAGGAAAGCTACTACTGCTGTGCTTTACATCAGCATTTAGATCTATTAGCTACCTGTGCTGGCCTGTTTAATTAAACTCTCTGCTGGAAGTGAATAGTTTTTCTATCAAACATTACCATTTTGAGCTTCACTGCAAGATATATTTTCTTTGAAAGTAGTAGTACTTTCATAAGGCTTTCGCTCCAGCAGTGTTAAAGGCAACTATTTGGGGTTTGTTTCCCCTCCTGAACAGTTTGAGAGAGAATAGGTTTTCAGTTAAAAGTGACAAGTCTATACTGACACCACTTCTACGCTTTGTAGAACAGGCCAGCTAATAATTGTTTTTGGTCTTCCCAAAAAGTGCTTTCTTTGAAGTTTAACCCAGTATGATATGACACCCTTATCTGGCTAAAGAGTTCCAGCTATGTTATTGGTACTGTTACTGGGCTAAAAAGTTCAGTGTTACCCTTCAGAGAAATGGTAACATACTGTATGGAAAACTGTGAGCTAACATGTCAGGTCAAGAAGGCAGTGAAATATGGCTCCCCGCCCACTTCTCTGACCAAGCTGGAGGAGGTGGCCTTGGGTGTGATGTTGGAGAAATATTTTCAATATCCTATGGGTAAGATGGCCCTGGATATGGCCAAATCTGGGATAGCCTGGCCACTGTTGTCCATGTACTGGTAGCCTCCAGATTGGATTACTGAACTGCACTCTATGTGGGGCTGTCCTCGAGGATGGCCCAGAAGCTTTAGCTAGTGAAAAACGCAGCATCTAGACTGCTCATTGGGACAGACTGCCACCATTAATTTAAACCGTCACTGAAAGAATTGCAACTGCAATAGCAAAGAATAGTTGCCAATAAGCTACTAGGATAAGTTCAAGGTGCTAGGACTAGTGTCAAAAGTCCTATACAAATTGGGACCAGGATAGAAGAAGAAGAAGAAGAAGAAGAAGAAGAAGAAGAAGAAGAAGAAGAAGTTGTTGTTTTATTTATATCCCGCCCTCCCCAGCCGAAGCCGGGCTCAGGGCGGCTAACAACAATAAAACAGTACAAAAGTACAGCATAAACAACACTCTAAAATCATTCATTATAAAATTAATTAAGTTGAGTTATCCAAGATAACTCAATTTATCTACTATTTAATCAGGAATTCCATTCCATATGAGGTAGGAAATGAACCTTTATTGTGGTAGCAACTACTCTTTGTTGTTCCTTTAGTGAGGTGTGATCTCTATTATCTTTTTGGAGATAGCTGCCCCCTGAAGATTTGTCTTTTCAACCAGCATTTTTATATCTATACTGCAATTCATATTATTCCTTAATATAGGTTTTTATTGTTGATGTTTTTATTGTTAAATCATTTCGGAATGTTTTATGGGAAGCTATAAACAAACCAACAAACCAACAGACAAACTGAATGATGAAACACTTTTTCTTTGTACAGTGGTACCTCGGGTTAAGTACTTAATTCATTCCAGAGGTCCATTCTTAACCTGAAACTGTTCTTAACCTGAAGCACCACTTTAGCTAATGGGGCTTCCTGCTGCTGCCGCACCGCCGGAGCACGATTTCTGTTCTCATCCTGAAGCAAAGTTCTTAACCCGAGGTACTATTTCTCGGTTTAGCGGAGTCTGTAACCTGAAGCGTATGTAACCTGAGGTACCACTGTATGTGCTGTGTTGCAATCAGACAGCTCATGTAACATCAAACCATAGTTAGTGATATATACTGTAGATTCCAGCGTATTAGGCGACTGGGCGTATAAGACAACCCCCCAAATTGGCAGCGCTAATATATGCTTCGCTGGGCAGCAGAAGTGGGTGGCGGGCTCGGCGCCGGAAGGAAGCCGCCCAGTGATGCCAGCTTAGGTACTGATGGCTAAAAAAAGAAGGAAAATATATGTATAGATGTGAGCAGAAATAGAAATACTATAACTGAAATAAAATACAATACATCACACTAAGTATGGAATATTGTGACCAAATTAACCTGTGTGCCTGCTCTGTCTGCTGTCCAGATGCTCTTAATGGGCTACTTCAAGGTCCCCACTCTCCCAATCCATGGTTCCTATCTTTAAAACAGACCTGAACCAGAAAACCCTTCAAACAAACTTTCTTATAGAAGGCTGCCCTCTGTAAAATAGGACATTTGTCCACTAGCAATATATGAACTAGTCATAGGTTCACATGTTTCTTCTTTTCCACTAGCGGGTAAAATTAAATTAGCTACTTCTTACTTAAGACAAGGGACGCGGGTGGCGCTGTGGGTTAAACCACAGAGCCTAGGGCTTGCCGACTGGAAGGATGTCTGTTCGAATCCCTGCGACAGGGTGAGCTCCCGTTGCTCGGTCCCTGCTCCTGCCAACCTAGCAGTTCGAAAGCCTGTCAAAGTGCAAGTAGATAAATAGGTACCGCTCCAGCGGGAAGGTAAACGGCATTTCTGTGCGCTGCTCTGGTTTCGCCAGAAGCGGCTTAGTCATGCTGGCCACATGACCTGGAAAAACTGTCTGCAGACAAACGTTGGCTCCCTCAGCCAGTAAAGCGAGATGAGCGCCGCAACCCCAGAGTCATTCGCAAGTGTACTTCACTGTCAGGGGTCCTTTACCTTTACCTTTTTACGTAAGACAAACCATAGTTTGCTACTTCAGATGTAATGGCAAAGCATGATTTTTAGTATTTGGTAACTAATGAATAAAATTTGAGTTTGCTAGCCTCCTGTGTGTTCCTAATTCTCCAATGAACATTAGATGTGCCTGGTGTTGTAATACCTAATCCTTTACTGTAGTCTCAGGTCCACACATTTCATAGAATCATAGAATTGTAGAATTGGGAGGGACCACAAGGGTCATCTAGTCCAACCCCTGCAATTCAAGAATCTTTTGCTCAACGTTAGGCTCAAACTCATTACTCTGAGATTAAGAATTTCATGTTGTACTGACTGAGCTCTCACAGACTGAGCTATCCCATGGGGATGAAAAAGTCAGTGAGTGAATGTTTTACAACAGAATCAGGCAACTTGAAAGTTTGCACCATGCTGTAGGTATTTCTATTCAAATTAGAAAGTGCATCATCCCCTAATAAGCATTACTGTATACTATTCTGAACTGCATCTATTCTCAATATACTGCCTTTAAAATCACTGGGAAATTTGTATACAGTACAGGTATTCTTTGTATAACTGGATCTATAACTGGATCTGCAGCAAAAAGTAGTTAGCAGTAAAGAAAGAATATTACTATCCCTCATATTTTGACTGAATTTCATTATCATGAATATAAAGCAATTATCATTGAAAAGATGCACTCTCAAAACTGAATGCACCGCTGAGAATTGCTCTACAAAAGGGATCTTCAAATACTGACAAACAAGTCCCTCCGGACTGTCATGCTGGCTGATTTTATCTACTGCTGGTGTCCTTGCTGGCTTAACAAAAAGAAGATCAAGAGTTTTCCTGGATACTTGGTATTGGGACAAATACACAATGCTATGAGCTGATGTTTCAGCTAAGAACACTGTAACAAGTTTTGAAAGTATAAGCAATGAAACACATACATTTTTTAGCCAATGACTTAGGCCAGACACTGACCTTTAAAAAAAAAATAGTGAACAAATAGGTCTTATTTTTGAATGGAATGTGGAATAACAGAACCATTGCTATGCACTGATACCTTTTGACCAACGACAGTCTCTGGTTAAACAACCTTTACAAGGATTTCAAGCACTACAAGGATCCACTGAAGCAGTTAGACCAGGGTGAGAATGCAGCCAAAGAAACGAGTGGACACACCATGACTAATGATGGTCCTCTCATTTCCAGCTCTCTTAATACAAAAAAGGAACAAGCAATTATCCAAAAGCTACTAACACACACTACATGCACCACCTGCAAACTTAGATCTTTTAAAACAGCCATGCTCCATCAGCGGTTCCAACTTGAATAAAATATTGTGGGGGCCCAGGTAAGTCCCACCCCACATAATTAACCGCATGACACAGTGCACACACACCATTTGAATGGGAATGCCCATCAACTATGTGGGGATCCAGCCCCCTCAAATATTTTATTGTGGAGGCTGTAGCCCCCATGGCCCCTAGGAGTTGGCTCCTATGTGTTCCATTCATTTGTAAAATACTTTCTTCCAAGCTAGGCTGAGTCACTTCAGACATTGAAGCCTGTGTGGAAGAAAAGCACCTTAAGGAGAGAGCCGTGGAGGGAAAATAAAGGTAGGAGGAGGGCTCAGTGTTCTTCCCTCTTTAAACTGCACTCAATCACCACCACAAATATATATGAATTGGTTCAGACCCATGCTTCAATACAAAAGGTCTTCTGTCCAAATTTGTAATTTGGACTGGTGTCTGGAAAACAGAACATAAGGATTGACTTCTAAGTGAAGATACAGGAAAATGAATTTGCACCGGGGGAAAATTCCACTGCTGCAGTGGTGGTGGTGGTAGGACCTCTATAAATAAAACAATTTGGTGTTTTTCCTCTGTGTCTCATAAAACTAACTAGAATATGGCACCATCCTAACGTTGTGGGATTGGAGAACTATTGCTGATTCTTATATATAACAACAATAAGAGAACCTTCTTTGGACTTCTTGCATTGAAAGAAATGAATGAACTGAAAAGTCTCAGACTGAAGATTGGAAAAACATCACCTAGCAGAGGGAGGAACAGTGGAATATTAATCTAGATTGGACATTTGCGCAGGGACCATGCTAACATTTTACTATTTTGAAGAATTATTGTATATATTATTGACAGATGGATAGCTGCAAGTCCTTTTCACCTATTTCTTTTCATTTTTCTTTTTATCTTTATTCTTTTATTATTCTCTTTAATATTCTCTGTTACTGCATTTTGAAAAGCCTTAATAATACCATAATAAAAAAAGGAAAGTGATGGATTGAAGATGAAGGACTTCGTGCAAGAGGCTGGGTGGAGAGGATCTCTCAGGGTAAGAGACTGGGGAAAGAGGGGGAAGCTCCCAGGTGAGAGCTGGGAGGGTTCACCCTCCTTTGTGTGGAATAAAGGTTAAGATATAATTTCAAAAGAGAGTTTTTTTATTTCCCCCCTTCTCTTTTCCCCCTTTCTCTTTTCTTCTTTTTGATCTTTTAAAAATTGATTATTAAAAAGAAGAAGAAACTGTCACCATCCAATGAAGCCGAGTGGCAGAAGACTGAGGAAAGGAGAGAAAAGTGGAAGTACAAGAGTAAATAGTAAACTATGGAACTTGTTTCCACAAGATGTGATGATAGCAACCAAGCTGGATAGCTTTAAAGGAGGGTTAGACAAATTCATTGTGGATAAGACAATCAATGGCTACTAGTCATGATGGCCATATACTACCTTCGGTATCAAAAATAGCATAAATACCAGTTGTTGGAGATCATGAGCAAGAGAATGCTCTTGCACTCACGCCTTTCTTGTAGGCTTTACACAGACATCTTAGTTGTGCACTGTTGGAAACAAAATACTGGACTAACTTGCTTCAAGAGGCCTCTTGTGTCATAACTGAGTTCACAGAAAATTGCCATTAAATATAATAGGGTGAAATTAATATTAAGAATTGCCTAATGGGCCATTCATCTTCCATGATACAATATGATCTAAAACTAGAAAAAGAACAATCATTTGGGACATTTGATATCAAGACTGAACAAATCACAAGGAAACCTAGTATAAGAAGCAATCTTTCTCCGGAAGAGAGACTAGGCGATCTAATAATGTCCCTAGTTTTTTCCTAATGTTATAAGATGACGTTGTCAATCTTGAGTTCATAATTCAATATTGTCCCTTCACTGAGTTATGGGACTGTGTTCCATGAAGCAGAGCCAGAAGCATTTTCTGAACTCTCCTATAGTCATTTAGCCCCAGAGATCCCGGTTTGATAAAGAACTTTTGTAAACATATTTCTCATGGTTCCTTCAAAATCAGTCTCCTTCCATGTAAGCAGTGAGCAAACATATTACACTTCATCAATTAGTACAGAACTAGTTTTTCAAACCTGCATCCTGTGCTTAATTGGGAAATCTGCTTAAATGGGATGTCTCCCAGGAAACCAGTTTAAACCCAATGATACTTTACAGGAATGACTGGTGCTTAGCAAACTGAGCTCTTTTAATGGGAAAGCCTAAAGCAATTTTGTGGTGCTTAGTCCTTTATGCTTCTCAAGCTCCTATGATTTCTTCTTTAATGGCTTTCTGACCTCCATAACCATTATTGTAATGAAGAAAATATATACATTGCCATCTGTTCCTATTTGCTTTCCCCTTTCATGACAAGTGTGGGTCAGTAGCAAGGACTGTGCACTTTTTCAGTAATTATCTTGTCCGCTTAAACTAAATGCTTTCTGTATTTGAAGTACTTTGTTCTAAGACCCAAGTACTATGAAGAAATAAAAGCTCCTCATTTAGATTTCAAATAGCTTCCAAATTATTTGCTCTCTTTCTGTTCAGTTCAGGAATATTTCTTTCTGTCCTATCCAGAGCTGAACATGAAGCAAATCTAAGGACAGCTAGAAGTACAAATATATTGTGCTCTTGTTGTTGCACATATTTGGTCTAATTCAAAGAGCAGAGGGAGTGGCAGAATTATCCCCTGAAGAACAAAACATTCCTCCCCACCAAAAAACAAAACATTTGAGACCTAAACCTGATAAGATGGATCTACAAATGAAAGGTAGTAGTAGTAGTAGTAGTAGTAGTGGTAGTACAAATGAAAGGTAGTAGTAGTAGTAGTAGTAGTAGTAATGGATCCAAACTACAAGAAAGAAGATTCCACCTAAACATTAGGAAGAACTTCCTGACAGTAAGAGCTGTTCGACAGTGGAATTTGCTGCCAAGGAGTGTGGTGGAGTCTCCTTCTTTGGAGGTCTTTAAGCAGAGGCTTGACAACCATATGTCAGGAGTGCTCTGATGGTGTTTCCTGCTTGGCAGGGGGTTGGACTCGATGGCCCTTGTGGTCTCTTCCAACTCTATGATTCTATGACCTGTTCTTTCAGGGTTGTACTCCCCCCTGAAATAACACATGTACATTCTAGTGGTGATTCAGCTCTGTTACTGGAATCACAAGTGATGTTAGTGGCTCAGAGTGCCTTTTGCACTTTTTACCCAATAATTTGGAAATTGGAAAGTGCTGCTTTGTAGTTTTAGCAATATGTCAGCAAATATGTCAGTAAAAAACAAAATGATTACTGCAACTTTAGCTGCCCTTATGTTTTGAAATGTATTAAATGAAGTATTGTTCCTCACTATGATGTTTTGCAATGAAGGGCAGGTTATAAATATTTTAATGATTTAAAAAAAATAAAAAATGAGGGGAAGGCTGTGTAGAAACCTTTTCTTCCTGACATCTAATTTTCTTTTTGGATGTACTTTGTTGCATGAAGAAACATCTAGTCACCTTAGCTGAAATCTTAACCGCATACAGGTTTACACCCCAACTGTTGTTTTGGAAGGCAACATGATAACGCAGTGTTGTCCCCAGGGGTATTCTATGGAGGCGGGGAGGCAGTTAGCAGCAAGTGAGTTCGCCACCTACAAATGGATAGTGAAATTGTAGGGACATTTACAAGAAGTTACCCCACTTTTCCCTGTCACTACAGTCATGTGAGGCAGGTAAAGGCAAATTAATGTAAGTGACCTTCATGGCTAAGAATGTATTTGAACACAGGTCTCTTGGATCTTGGTTTAACATTCTATTCACAACTTACTGGCTTCCCTGAAGCCCAAATTAGACAAGACACAGTCAACTTAGTAATCTTGTCAACAGAACAAATAGAGTTTTGTTAGTTTGTAAATGTAGGTAGGGAATGGTGAGATGTTTCAAATCTGTTTGCCTTCTGACCATTCTCTCTCCCCTAAAGGAGCTTCCAAAGGAATTATCTGTCCTACACTGAATAACATGGTAAGGGGTTTTGCCTCCCAGTGTTTTATAAACTCACAACCTGGTACAAATGATTTAGTTCATATATTAACATCTTTGGTCTGCAGTTTCTTTCTCTCCTGCAGTTTCAAAAGGAAACTCGAGGACTTCTTTAGGATTAGCAAAGGCATTTTCCTAGCTACTCCTATGGGTATAGTTTTAGACTACAAAACATGTATCTTCCAAAGTCTCACAGATATAATTTCCGCAGAAGTTTGGGATGTTTTGATTGATTTTAAAGGAAAATATTACAAACAGAATGGTAACTAGCAAATGAAAGGGGAAGGAAACATACAGAAGGGATGAAAAAGGCTTTAGCTATCAACACATATCAAATAAACATTGATCATAAAGTACATCAGCCGATGACTAATTGCAGTTTGCTCTCCAGGAGGCTGCAAGTTTATCCCATTTCTGAGATCAGTTTAAAGAAGCAGCTGCCACCTCCCTCTTTTTTTAAGATTTATAATATAATGGTTTTAGCAAACTTATGTATTCCCAAACCTTCATTAACTATTTTTTTTTAAAAATTCTTTAAAAAGCTTGAGCTCTCATAGTAGTAACAGTAAAAAAGAAAAAAAAAGTCCTGAACATATGAAAGCAAACCTTGTGTTTCTAGCACAACCCCCCCAGGTGCATGTGCTGGCTACACATAATAAGTAAGTAATACTTTTATTGTGTATCCTATATTGTAAAAACAAGTAACTCTTAGATAAAACAGGCTGCTGAAAATGCTGGAAATTAGTACATAATGCATGCTGTCCCCAGGATGTATAGGTAACAGGCAGGAAACTGTGAGAAAGGAAATTCAGTAGACTCATCATTAGTATCTGCTCATCTTATCCAGCTTGCCATACTGTCAATAGAAAAGAATGAAGTAATTATTACTATATGACTGAGCGTCTGTACCTTTTCCCCTCGCTCCAACCACCTCCAATTATTCTGACACTATTCCTGCCCTTAGGTTAGACTACTACTATTGAACCATTTTTTACAGCTTGTGGCAGGCAATAAAACACACCAAGTCACATCAGCACACTCAGAACACTGGCAGAAGCAAGCAAATCAAAAGCCCATCCAATTATCTTGACTCACTAGTTGTATTTTATTATGTATTTATTTATTTATTTATTTACTGGCTTGCATCATATTTTGGGATATTTACGAAACCCCAAAAATGTTTTATTGAGCATGGGGAAATCAACTGGTCAGGCCCTACACAAAGAACTGGGAACAAAAGAGCTGCGAAAGGGGTATATTTTCACATTCCTTCAAACCACCTCATATTCTCCTTTGCTTGCCCGTAGAGCAAAAACGAGTTCTCCTACCTAGCATGTGGATGGCCAACATGTTGTGTGGGTACCACTGGGAATGAGAGTTTGCAGTCTATGGCACTTTGATAAAATTACTAGAGGATAATAGAGTCCAAGATTAGAATTTATTTTTATTCGCTACTAAAATTAATACTGCCCCCTGCTAAGTAAGTTTTTAGGGCAAGTTAACAACAATTAATAAAAAGATTAATAAAAATATGATAAACAAACAAACAAAAAAAGCAATACATAACAAGAGTTGACTATGGGGAGTTTTGAAAATATATATTTTCCCATAACCTAGTGAATCTTGTAAGGAACAGTGATGCTGTGGCATTTGGTGTTGTTGTCTGAGACAGATTGAGCCTATTAGTTCCCTTGTACCTGGACCTACAGTCTAGCCTTCCTTTCCAGCACTGAACTTGGGAGCATTTGGCCTATAGGGCCAATAAGGCAGGCCTTTGAATTTGGTCCACAAGACCATGGTCACCTAGCGGTCACCTGATCAGCCTAAGGATGTGAGACACAGAGAGCTGTTATCTCTGATCTAAGCACTAAGTGCTAAGAAAAGAAGGGATCTCTGATCTTAACACTAAGCACCACAGCACTAAAACTGGAGACAAGCCTCTGCCTGCTCTTTGACAGTTTACTCTCAAAACAGCAAGCAGTGTTTCTCTTCTCTTCAATCTGAATTCATATAAGAGATAAGCCTCTTCTCACTCTTTAAAAGGCACTAGGCAGAAGCTTATCTCCAGTTTTAACAGTGTGGGATTACAGTGCTAAAATCTGAGATAAACTTCCAGGCTACTCCTGTGGATTGAACATAATCACCTGATGTAATATGACGTTAGGTGATTGACAGGTGGGCGATTCCACCCACCTGTCAAAATGGCTCACAGTTCCAGTTCCCCATCCCTGTTCTAACTGGTGTACAACAGCTAAAACCACAATGTTACAAACATACAGTGATGTAATTAAAACTGCAATAAAAATATATATTAAAGCATTGTATGAAACAAAAAGACAGAGTCCAACTTAATGATGTAAAAGAAAGAAAAACACACACATGATGTTTCCTATACAGTAGGGGGAAGAGTATTACAAACCACAGAGGCAGCACCAGAAAACGTCCCATGAGTCACTGCCATACAACGGTCCATAACACACAGCATCACTTACAAGACCTTCCCAGATGATATTCATGAACTACTAGGTCTGTGTAGAGGTAACTAGGTTCCAAGATGTTCAGGGGATTATGTATTAATAACAAGAAACTGAGCATGTATCAAGAGCTAATCGGCAGCCAGCGCAGTTCTTTCACCACAGGTGTAAAAGGAGCATATCTGGATGTCCCTATTCTGCACCAGCTACATCTTCCAGAGCAGTCTCAGGGGAAGGCTCTCACAGTACCGGTAATTAGAATAATCCAATCAGGAGGTCAGCAATGCCTCATTTGCCCAGCTATCCCTGTCCAGGAAAGCTTGTAGTTGGTGTACTAACTGAAGGTGAGTGCAGGTGCTCCTTGCAGCAGCTGACACTTGATCCTCCAAGGACAATGATGGATCCAAGAGCACCTCCAACATTATATTCTTCAAGATCATTAAGAAGGTCCTAAAGCCAGGACTGCAGTATATCTAGAAGGCAGACAATTCACAGGCTTTGAAATGGAAGTAAAACAAAAACAAAATAAATTCTGTACTATCAGTCACGCCTTATCAAAATGCCCACATATGCACACACATATATATGTGGAACTTTAATTAAAAATAAGGTTTTGGCCTACAATGTAAATCTGAATTATGTGAAAGCAGTAGAATGGGTCCAGCATTTTGCAGCAGCAGTTCTGGCTTTGACAAAGGAAAGAGAGAAAACACACACTCATAAGCTTATATTAACAATTCCTGGAAAATATCACAACAATCCAAGAAAGGAGATGGCGTCTGATTGGCTTGTTTACACTTTCTCATTTCCCAAAATCATTTTGCTTCATTTACTACAGTTTGTCACTGAGACAGTGTGTTTGGGGGATTTCAAATGGACTCATTCTGTTCTAACAGATGTCAAAGAAGAGGTACATTGGTTTTAATGCCTATTTTGGGGCATATGGGAATAGCTTTTCCTGTGTAAAATGTCTGCTGTGAGCATCCAGCAGGATCTTGCTATTCTTCGCCACATTTATATCCCTACTAAATTTATTCAAATTTATGGAGCTATTGTTGTTTATTACAGCACTGACATTGATATGTTAGTTTGGTAATGTGCTCCAGTATTATAACACCAATCAAATTACTAGGGTAAATGTGCCACACTCTCACATCAGCCAAAGAGTTTGCTTTAGTTAATATACAGCAAACAAGAAGTAAAAGGGTGAAAGAAAGCAACAGACACATGCTTTTTAAAAAACGATAGCCAAACAGTTTTTCATTCACATTATGTCTTTATGTATGACATTGTAGCAAAATGTAGAGCAGGGTGACTAACCTTTTTGAGCCTGAGAACAGATTTAGAAATCTAAAACTTACTGTGTGCACCACAAAATGCACATTTCAGAGAAGAACAGGTGATGCTCTGAACCCCCTTCCAAACACAAGCAAAATGCTCTCCCCAAAACACCCACAAATAAAACATACTAACCAAACAACAAACTTATCTTGGGAGGGGCAGAGAGACATGGCAGGACTTCCGATTTAAAACATTTTTTTGCTAAGTGTTGGGTTCCCACACCACCACAAAGAGGCAAGCTGGATATTTTCATGCTTGTTGCTCATACATTAGCTGCAAAGCTGAACATGCAACTTGTAAGAGACAATGCCTCAAATTATTGTAGTGTCTGCAGTGATGACAGCAAATGAAAAAGGGTGGAAATATATAACTTGTGCACTCCCTCTTGCTGATATCACAAGCACTATGCATCATCTGGAAACCCCATTGAACTTCTAAAGAAAGAGCTCATATTCTCAAAATGTCTGAATATTTCTTCAACACCTCACCCATTACTTTTAACTTATTGTCAATGCGGGAGCTGCAATGTACACATGAAGCTCCTAAGAAAGCAAGACTTTCTAATTTACTTCAGTGTAGAAGAGTTTCACAGGACTGAAAGAAATGGTCACCCCCTTCTAGCATGTTAGATGCCACAGAACTTTAGGACAAAATAATCAAGCTGTGGATGTTTGTGTGTGTACACACACTGCCCCTCAATTCTATTCCCATGGTAGTTATCATGATGTTTAGAGTGTTTTTAAGCAGGCAGATTTACCATCTGCAGAAATTAATGAACATTTGATTCTTCTTATTTATTGTTATTATTACTATTACTATTATTATTTACTAAATTTGCATACAGTCCTTTATTCAAACATCACTGGGCGGTTCACAACATAAAAAATACAAAACCAAAACACAAAATACACAGTAAAACAAAAGCAAAGCAAACCAATACCCCCCGGGTAGGTTTCTTAAATGACAATAGGTGGTAAAGTGCTACCTCCAGCTTTGACCCCAGATAGAATAACCGTAAACGGAATCTAACATGCACTGCAACTTAGGCAAGCAATTCCACACAGTATATAACACCCCCCCTTCCTTTCCTTGGAATACAAAACAAGATGACAATATTCAACTGTCAATCACAACAGTGCCACATTTCCTCTCGCTTTCCTGTCTCAAATTTTGCTACCTTTGTGCTCTTAAAGATTTTGATGTAAATAGTACAGGAAAGCAGTTAGTGACCTGGAATGAGACACTATTAACACCAGTCAGAAAACAAAAGAGAATCAATACATTTTTTACTCACAATTAGCAATTAACTGAATAATCTCTTTTGGGTCCTTTGGGGGGAAAGGTGAGATAGGAGGCCGAAGCAAACATTCCCTGGATCTGTTTCACCTTAACAGCTTTTCTCATACACTGAGTTGGACATCTCAATTAAGTACACAGTTGCAGTGAATATTAACATATACTGTAAACCCTAAACCTATACATAGTATTCCCCCCCCCCAGTTGTGCGTGTTTATGCTTTCCACACAATGGTTTGACATAATGTTGGTCATGAACCAAACCATGGTTTGCAATAGGAAGCACCACATAGCTTTGCGTACTGCCATGTTTCCCCTCTCACTTAGCAAGTCTTTTCTTTTCAGTCTTCCTCAAATAATAGTTTGCTGAATCATCCTTCCTCAAATAATAGTTTGCTGAATCATCCTATTTGGGTAACGATTAGCAGTTCTAAAAATGTGTTTCAAAATTTAACTTTAAACAATTACCGGTAGCTTCAAAACACAAGTTGGAGGCAATCCAGGGACTCAGTTAGATTGGTAAAGAAAAAGCGTTTATTATGTGTTGAATATGTGATATAACACTGTGGCACCAGATGGCTCTGTGGAGTCCTGTCTTTGCCAACTGGATTTCCCTGTAAGAGTTTACAATGCATTTAACTGAACACTTATTTGATGTGTCTAGATGCAGCCCAGGTTAGTACTAGCCACAATTTGCCCAATTTGAACACCACAGTAACCAACTTTAACAGAAAGGCAGAAAACTGAATGATAAGAAGTGAGGGGAAGGAAGAAACATGTATGCCCATCATCATTTGACAACTGAATACTGTTATATCTTAACTGAGTCTAAAATAAAGCTGAGATACATTCTAGCTGACCCAGGTTGTCAACCTGATGCATTTGTTGAGAGGGTGTGCGTGTATGCAACAGTTTAGATAATATTGAGGATCTCCAAACAGGTTGGAACCCTTGCTCTAAGGCAACACAATCATGAAACCATTCATCTGGAGCTGAAATGCTTCATCAAGTGGATCAGTAGAAGAATATGAGATTCATTTACACAATCCAATGTGGGGGGAATAATAATTTTCTTTAATCCTACAACCCCACCAAAGGTATCAGCTTGACCTCAGGGTCAGGCAAAAAACCCACTTTTTTTTAAAAAAAAAGATAATGAAATAACTGACTTTGTGTACCTCTGTACTTGAGTCTCATAAAAGTACATACAGTTTCACCAGTGATCATATTAGATTGTGACAAGGGTTTGAATCCAAGTTATTATTGTACTGGTAGTAATGATGGAGCATCTTCTATAGGAGGATGAAAAATAAATAAATTCGTATTTCAAAGATGCACAGAGAGGGAACAAGCATTCCTCCTGAGAATTAGTCACTTCATGCTATTTTTGTCTTTGAAAAATCTTTCTCCCAACTCCTATTTAAATTCCAAGACAGCAGCCATCTAATCCATTAGAGAAAAGACAACCTAGAAAGTTAAAATAGCATTAAGATTACAGAAATAAATTAGATTGCAAGTTCTTTGTATTACGCTGCATGAAAAAAATGGGAATAAAAATACTATTATCTCTCTCTCAAAAACCTCCCATTTCATCTGTAGTATTTATTGTATCACTTGCATTAGTACTGTACATTTGTTCCTTTTATATTAAACTACTTTGTCTTTTTTAGATGTTAAAATAAGTCAAGGTTGAATCAAAGCTACAGCAATTGCC